TGTTTGCGATTGATTAGTGCTTATGTAATGATGAATTAGGTATTTCTTGGTAAATTAGGTGTGCTCATTGAGGTGTGCTTAGTGCTTGCTTTCTTTTCGGCTAATTGAATGCATGATCTAATTGCTACTCTTTTTAGTTGATTGGAAAAGAACTAATTAGGTAGATGTGAGCCTCCTTGAGTTAATCACGAGCCCTTGGCCGGGATTGGGTGCTTGATTGTGTATTGTGCCTGGGAGAGACCTAGATGGTTAGGCAATACCTCCTCTGATTTATTGAGAATGCCCATGTTTATTGTTATGTTTGTGCTTGTCTCGTTAATTCCCTTGATCCCCTTTCCCTAGTGCCTTCACTTCTTGTTTTATCTTCTTCTTTAGCGTTCTATTTGCTAGTTTATAGGTTGTAGTTGTCTCTTATACACAAAAACCAAAAAAATAGACCCTCGATTAGCAAATTAGACTTTAGCCGATTCTTTTCACCTACTTCCTTGTGGATACGATCCCTACTCCGCTATACTACTCTTTAGTGTAAAGGTTAGGGTATAATTTGACTAGGTTTCTAGACCCACGACACCTAGGGACTCGATCAGACTTTGGAAGAGGTGATTTATGAGGAATTGGACCCGAGGTGTGAATCAAAAGGTGTGAAGAGTACTTCGGGTTTGGCTTATAGATACCCCGTTGATTACGGTGACAGGTGGCGAGGGAGGAGGTGGCTGAGTGGGCTGTAGGGGTTGCACACCTCAAAGAGGTGGCGGAGTATAGGCTGGCAGTATAGGTCGCAAGCTTGCTGTAAGGGAGCTAGGGACGCCACAACCATGTTGCGGACAGGTTTGCCCAGACATGGTATGTGGCGGGCTGGTCTGCTGGTCCGTGTGTGATGGGTTTAGCGAGCTGGGCGAGGCTGGAGGAGAGCTCCCAGTGGTTGCTAGGCTTGAAGGAATGTTGGGGCAGCCCACTGGTTGAGCCGATGAAATACTAGTGGGCACTAGGCTAGGAGTGGAGTGATGATTTTGTGTGTTTGATTGGGTGTGACGTATGAGGGTATGTGTGAGGATAGGTGAGTTGTTGCTCTCACCTAGAAACTCATAATCCCGTAAGCGGTATTGACCCAAGTTTCGATAAGGAAAGGTGGTTTCGTCAAATGTTACGTGACGACATAGGATGACTTTGTTTGTGGATAAATCAGACACCTATAACCACGGTGATTCGGAGGATAACCTAAACACACAAGGAGAAGATCGAGGGGCAAGCTTATGCGGAGTAGTAGCGGATAAGTTTGGGAAACATAGACAACCGAAGGTCCTAAGATGGTCATATGCAGGGATTACCCCAAAGAGGGCATAGGCCGGTGTTATGCTATTGAGGGTTTTTGCGGGCAAAATATTTATGAGATAAGTTGCGGTTTCAAGAGCATAAACCCAATATGACGGAGGAAGGGAAGCATGAAATAAGAGAGTACGTTTGACATTGTTTACGGTACAAATCATCCTCTCAGCTTTACCATTTTGGGATGAGGTATGAGGACAAGAGAATCTAAATACCATACCATTTTTGACACAAAAGAGTTTGAAAGGGTCATTGTCAAATTCCCGCCCATGGTCACTTTGAAAAGACTTAACGAGTCGTTCAAATAAGGTTTGAATATATTGCTGAAAGTCTAAGAAAGTTTGATTAGCTTGAGATTTATAAACAAGAGGAACGGTCCACACATAGTGAGTAAAGTCATCAAGAAGAATTAAATAGTATTTATGACCATTTACACTACGAGTAGGAGACGTCCATAGCTCCGCATGAATAATGTCAAAAGCACAATTCGTATTATTATTTGAAGTAAAGAAAGGAAGTCTAGTATGTTTCCCAAGTTGACAAGAATTGCAAAAAGGTGGAGTCATGCTCCTTATTACAATGAATGAAATTTCTACTCCTAAGAGAGGGAGTCCCAGGGTGCCCTAGACGATTGTGCCAAGTGGAAGGAGAGACGGTCGTGAGGGAAGTGGCTAATCATGTAGATGGATGTGTGGCGGTGATGGGATATGAATCCCCCAAACTATTTCATCTCGTTATTATTTTCCCCGTGCGAATTATCAGAATTAAATTTTCGTACAAAAATAAGGTTCTTAATAATTTGAGGTGCTAAGAGGACATCTCGAAGGGCTAAGTTGGTTGGGGAAAAAGTTGAGTGAACATAACTGGTAATTGGAATACGATGACCATTGCCAACTAAAATATAATTATTATTAGTTGTAGACACCTGATTGTGTCTCCCCAAAAACCAAGCCCAGTGATGAGTACCTTTCACGTCTTTGATTATCGAGTTAGGTAAAGAGTTGAAGAGTCTCGTGAATTTCCCTTTAGACTTGACCATATTTCTAACCTTTCCTTAAATTTTTAATCCAAAATCATTTGTTTTGTGCTTTAAAACCCAAAATCATTCATTTTGTGTCTTTGCAAATCATTCATTTCGTGTCCTCTTTATAAAAACGTCCAAACCAGTCTATTTTGGTCCATAATCCTGGTCCAATTATTGTGTAGTTGGATGGGGTTTGAAAAGAGCTTTCCAACTATATATTATAAGCCCAAATCCGACATAAAACGAAGAAGTTATGGCCAAAATACTAAATAAAGCACAAACCGAACCTAGGTCCACCTTACCTACGACCCAATGATCATGTAGAGGGTCCATTAACCTTAATCCCATTCCTAAACCAATTAGGATTCATTAGCTTCTAGAATCCTGTAGAAGGTTCTAATCTATCCTTTTTGAAAGATAAAGATCAAAGAGTTTGAAATTGAATAAAACTCCTCTTTTTGAAAGTCCTTATTCTATTCAAATTCAAAGATGTTCAGATATGATTTTTGTGCATCATAATTTTTATCAAAATATAAACGGTTGGATAGCCCTTGAAATTATCTTTCCAATCATATACCATAATCCCAATTCCGAGCTATAACGAAAAAGATATGAACGAAATACCAAACTCTATAAAAAATTGACACCGTTCCACGATTTCGACCATATCTTTTATTTTACAAAAGATATTAATCTTATTTCAATTGGATTGGAAAGTAGAATTCTAGAGCTTTCCAACAACATATTATTTATCTTATTCTAATTTTTGGATCAAAAGAAATGATAAAAACCGCAAAAACTGCTGTCCATCGAAGGAGTTTTATTCGATTAGAATTCGGATGTTTTTTAATCCTTCGACCTTCTTTTTTTCTTATAAATAGAGGTCGTATCACCCCGTTTTCAATCATCAATAAGCTTGATCACCAACAATCATCATCTAATCCCTCTTTTTAAGCTAAAGCTTATTTTCTCTCTCTTTCTTTCTAGCCTAGCCCAAACACATCCCAACACCATACCTCCTTCATGAGTCTTGAATACTCCAAGCCCTTCTCGAAGTTGCCTTCGACCTCGACGTGAAAGGTTGATAATTCTGAGGGTTTGGCCCCAAATCTATATTTCAATTCATATTTGATTTATTTATTTGATTTAATCTTTCTTGAAGTTACTAATGTGTGTATTGTCTTGATATAAAGAGATACGAGACATCAAAGTGAGTAGGTCTACTATCCTTATTCCTCGCTTTTGAAATAGAAATTATGCTTAGGATATTATTTTAATTCCTTACATCATGTTAGGATATTGATTTTGATTCCTAGTATCATGTTTAGGGTGTTAACTAATATTTCTAATACGATATTTCTAGTATCATGTTTAGGTTAATGCTTTGATTATGATTTTTATTAGTGACATGCTAGGGTTTGTTATTAATCCGTTTAGTATCATGCCTAGGATCTTGCTAATCATGTTTTAATGATATCTTATTGATGATTTTGATTATGATGATGATTGTTGTGTTAATTTTACATTGCTTGATTATTCTATGATTTATTGCTATTGCTTGATCACGCCTTTTTGCGGGTTTAAAGGGAATTTGTACTTGAAATCACGCCTAATAAGAGAATTAATAATTTGATTTAGGTTAATATGATTTTAATTCAAGTGATCGCCAATAATAGATTTATTTGTGCATTAATAATCAACCAATATAGATTAAACAGGTTTAGGACTAACTTGTTGTATGTATGTTGATCGAAAAGCGCACATGAATATCATAAGAATTAAGTAGAAGCCGATTTAGGGCAGATTCAATCTCTTTTAGGTTGGATTCGTACCATCATCCGCGAATATCCAGTCATGGTTCCGGACCACTATGGAGTTAGCGATCTCTGTGACTGTGAATGAGGTGTAACCATCACACTCGTGAACGGTTTACAAGTTCCTGAAACTTGTTGGCGACTCTTTTATCTCTAGCTTCCTTCCCTTTGGACGTCATCATACTTAAATGCATGATCACAATGGGGCTCAAAGTTGATGTTTGAAATATTCCTTACATTAGTGCTTAGATTAAAGAAGGGCAAGAGATTACCCGAGTTATTTCTCATGTGGGAAGATGCACCCGAGTCCATATACCATCCATCATTGGGGGTTGCCAAGGCCATGGTTAAGAAGGCATTCCCGAGATCCGTCAGAGTCATAAGCGGACCATAACCATTAGGGGCAGCCACGCACGCCTGTTGTTGGGCCTAAGGTGTCGATTGTTGTTGGGCTTGACCAATGGGGATCTGCTGACCATAGTGAGAGTGAGGAAAAGGAGGGGCAACCTATCTTTAAGGATAGAACTAAGGAGAAGGGCAATATTGTCCTTGTTAGGGTGGGTCGGCCCATTAAGGAGCCCCATTAGAATTAGGCGCACCTTGTTTAGTGTTTGGAGCAGGTTGGTTTGTCTTCGGTGAAGTTTGTCCCCTGCCCCTGCCCCTGACCTGCCACGACCATGGCCTAAGCCGCCCTTGATGACTTTTCTTGAACCGCGACCTGAGCCGCGACCGCCGGAGCTGCTGCCACCTGGGTTTCCGCCGCGAGCCGGTGGTTGTTGGGAATTGGGTGATGCTGAATCCGATTGTTAGGCTACGAAGGACTGAGCCAGATGTGATTAGTCATTGAAGCACCTCGTCACCTCAAGGAGGCAAGATCTCGCAGTCTCAAAGCCAGACAATGGTTCAGTTTGAGCACGAATAGTAGTGACAGTGTCAAAGTCTGTATTACGGAGTCCAGCAATGAGGCGCATCACCAACATATTTTCGGAAGCCGGGTGATCAACACTAGCAAGTTGATCTTTGAGACACTTCAATTGTTTGCAGTACGATAAGACATCCGAAAAAGATGAGAGATGGTAATATGTGAATTGCTTTTCAAGATAGAGAGCCCGAGTCGCTTTATTGTCTTGTAATATCGCCTTGATTTTGTCCCACACCTGTTGAGCTGTATCACCTTTGGAAAGATCTGTATCAAGAAGATCGGCCGAGATTGTGCCGTAGATCCATTGCTAGACAATGGTGTCAAGTCGCTGCCATAAGGAGTCAGAAACACTGGGTGGGCGAGACGTTTTGGAGCTGATATGGTCGAGCACATTATATGCATGAGCATGGACCTCGAATAATTCCTCCCAATTTGAATATTTGGCTGAAGGTCTTTTAAGAATTAAAGGAATAAAATTCTTGATGTTGCTTACGAAAAAAGTAAGGTGAAATTTAGGTGGAAGAGGAACAGAGTCATTGGGTTGATCATCCTTGGACATGGTGTTGGGACGGTACTGTTATTGAAGAGAAAGGAACAAAAAAGAAAAGTGGAAGCTAGGTGAAGAACTTAAACGTTCACAGGTCCAAAACAAAAAACAAATTTTGTGGAAAAAATGAGATCTGAACCTAGAGCTGTGATACCATATTAGATTCTGGGAAAACTCCTTAATTTGGAGTGTGTACCTTTGATCAATTTATATAGAGTTTTACAAGACTAGTCCTAGTTACGTTCAGAAACCTAGTACAATAAGGATACAAAATATATACAAATATTATCCTAATCCGCGACAAATATTATTATAAATATAATATATATCAAAGAGGAATAAAGATAAAGACCAATGTGATGAGGAGAGAGACAGCATGTGCAAATGGAGAAATGTTGCAATATTTATGAAACTTCTTGAATTGATAATTTTTGCAATATTTGTGGAACGGAGGAAGTATTAATTTATGGGTACCAACAAAACTATTGTGATTGATCAGAAACGAAGAAAATAGTTATCGGTTTGTGTAGGGAATTTTTGCCCCACATGTGGGTCATGTTTCTTTTTAAGCATAGCGGCGCTCCAAGGAAAAGAAGTTATAATAAAAGAGTCGCCAACAAGTTTTAGGAACTTGTAAACCGTTCACAGGTGTGAAGGCCACCTCATTCACAATCACAGAGATTGCTAACTCCATAGTGGTCCGAAACCATGACTAGATGTTGTGGGATGATGGTACGAATTTGACTTAAGAAAAGTTAAACCCGCCCTAAATAGGCCTCTACTTAATTCTTTTGATATTCATGCGCGCTTTTCGATCAACATACATACATCAAGTTAATCCTAAACCTGTTTAATCTACGTTGATTGATTATTAATGCACAATCAAATCTAATATTGGTGATCACTTGAATTAAAATCATGTTAGCCTAAATCAAATTATTAATTATCTTATTAGACGTGATTTCAAGTACAAATTCCCTTTAAACCTGCAAAAAGGGGTGTGATCAAGCAATAGCAATAAATCATGAATAATCAAGCAACACATAATTAATGAAACAATCATTATTATAAGAATATCATCAAAACATCATTAGTAAGATCCTAGGCATGATACTAAACAGATTAATAACAAATCCTAGCATGTCACTAATAATCAAATCAAAACGTTTTCCTAACATGATACTATAAATCATAATAACATCCTAACATGATACTAAAGTAAAATAACATTGTAAACATGATTTCTACTCCAAAATCAAAAGAATAATTAAGTAATCGAATTACTTACTTTGATGCCTCAACCTTCTTGCTATCAAAATAATACACATGTTAGTAAAATTCAAGAAAGTTAAATCAATAAAGTAAATAAATCAAATACAAATTGAATTATAGATTTGGGATCAAACCGTCAGAACTATCAACCTTTCACGTCGAGGTCGAAAGGGCAACATTGAGTATGGCTTGTAGTATTCGAATCTCGTGAATGAGATATTGCGACTGATTTAGGAGAGTATCAAGGATGTGTTTAGGCTAAGGCTAAGAACATGGGTGTTTAAGAACTTCGAGAAAGATTATGAAGGATTATTGATGATTAGAGCTAAGGATTATGATGGTTGTTGATGAATTGTTGCTGATTTGAAAACAAGGAAAACAACCTCTATTTATAGGGAAAAAAGAGAATCTGGATGATTAGAAAAGATCAAAATTCAAATGAAAATAAAACTGATTTTGACGCGACGCGACAGGATTGTCGCGCCATGCTGGCCTCTGACGCGCCGCGTCAGGACTATCGTTGTGTGATGGTTCTAGCGTCGTGCACTGGTTTAGAAGATAATTAAATTTGTACAGAGTTTGATTTCTAATGGAATTATGATCGTGAAACATATCTGAACGTCTTTGAAATTGAATAGGACGAGGATTATCATATGAGAAGTTGTATTCGGTTTCGAACTCTTTGATCTTTATCTTTTTAGGAAGAATAGATTAGAACCTTGTAGAGGATTCTAGAAGTTTCTAGGTGACTTGGGATTGGGAATAAGATATTTGGACCCTATATGATCATTGGGTCGTAGGTAAGGTGGACCTTGGCTTGGTTTGGGCTCGGTTTAGTATTCTGGCCATAACTTATTCGTATTAAGTTGGATTTGAGCTTATAATATATCGTTGCAAAACTCTTTTTAAGCCCCATCCATCTAAGCAATAATTGGATTGAGATTATGTACCAAAATAATCTGGTTTGGACGTTTTTATGAGTTGGACATGAAATGAATGATTTTGAGGACACGAAATTGTATGATTTTGGTTTAAAACATTTTAGGTAAGGTTAGAAATATGGTCAAGGTCTAAGGGAACTTTGCGAGACTCTTCAATTCTTTGCTGAACTCGTAAATTAGAACGTGAAAGGTACTCATCATTGGGTTTGGTATTTGGGGAGACTCAATCAGGTGTCTACATTTTGTTCTAATTAAATTATGGTTGTATACTCAACTCGGGAATATTGGCATATAATCAGTTGATCGAGTCACGGGCTATTTGTGCAGGTGATTAGTACCGAAAAACTCCATGAACATTTTCAAATTTTAGAATCTTAGGTATTGTTTTGTTCACCTTACTTTTGCTTATTTAATCGAATATGTACTTATCTAGTATGATATGATTTGATCTGATCTAATCTAGTCTGGTCATATATGATTTGATTGTTGACAAGGGTTAAATCGGTCGCTACAATCTAACTCTCAATCAAACAATACTTATACGAACACCCTATAACCAAGTACAATGGCAAATAAAGGTTCGGTCCACGAGGAACGAGAGTAATTGCAAATCAATCTTAAACCTAAGCTAGTTCGAAATCAATGGAAAATGGTGTTCTAAAATAATACTAATAAGATGGAATAAATCAATAAACTAAGACACTAGGGAGAACGGGAATCCGCCTAACCATTGGTAACTAAGCAACAAGGAATCACAGAGACAAACGGGATATGCGAAGACTATAGGTCTGATCAATATCACGTGATAGGAAGACAACGGGCAATACTAAGCTTGGATTTCTCATGCACTTAACATTACTCGATACATAATCAAACCACATTCAATAATGAAATACTCAATTCACAATCTCTTGTTCAAATCAAGAATATCATGCAATCAAATTCAAGATTCTAGGTTAGCTACTCCTATTATAATGAATTAACATGCAATCGCATATAATCAATTTAATCACAATCCGTTTATCAAAATCAATCCTCAATTACATAGATTACCTAGGCCGGGTTTCATCCCGAAACCCTAGCTAGGAGACTACTCACACATATTCATAATCAAAGCAATAATGAATTCCAAAAGCATAATAGATATAAACATGAATTCTGATTAAGGAATAATAAAGCTTGATTAATAAACAAGAATGAATAATACCAATTGTATTGATGCGAATCAATGGAAAAGTTCAGAACTTTGATATCCGTCGTCAATGAATAATACAAAGAACCTTCGCAAATCTTGCTTCAAATCAATCCAAGAAAACTAAAATCTCTAGGAAATTCTCTAAGAAAACTAATGAATCTCTAATACTAAGAACGTTCTCCAATAACTCTCTACAAAGGCTCTCAAAACTATCTCTAAAACTCTCTCTTAACCCTTACAATCGGGTTATATATATATGTTTTAAATCGGAAAGTAAATCGCAGACTGCCCTTCGTGAATCGGCACGGCCGTGCTGGAAGTGGCACGGCCGTGCAAGCATGGCAGTAGCTGATCCGCAATATCTTCAATTATGGCACGACCGTGCTGAATTTGGCACGGCCGTGCTAATGCCTGGCACGGCCGTGCTGAATCTGGCACGGCCGTGCTGAATCTGGCACTGGCACGGGCATGGAAATTGGCTTGGCACGGCCGTGCTAATGCCTGGCACGACCGTGCTGAATCTGGCACGGCCGTGCTAATGCCTGGCACGGCCGTGCAGCATAGGCAGGAAGGTTGCAGGCACTTTGGTCTTCTTAAAACAGTCACAACTTCTTATCCAGAGCTCCGTTTGAGGCGTGCAATATATCGTTGGAAAGCTCTTCAAGTCTACTTTCCAATGCAATTAGAATCACTCCATTATCATTTATATACCGAAAGTTGTGAGCAAAATAGTGAACAGGTGTCATATTTGTGAACTGTTCTGCCTTGCCTGCTACTTAACTTGCCTTTCAAGGCCTTGAGAACCGCAGCAAAGCCTTAGCTTGGTGGACTAGGATCGATAATAGCCTGATTACACACCAATGGTTCGGGACTCGACATAACTTGGTCAACTATACCTGTTAACACACCAAAAACAGACCGAAACCCGTGAAGCACGTAATATGAAGGAAACGAGTGTAACAAGGCAATAAACGACCAAAACGGACCTAAATACATCCAAAATCACCCATTTATATGCCTTAAAGCGCGCCCTAATGTGCGCTTGTCAAAATCCCCCAAGCTACACTTTTGCTAGTCCTCGAGCAAAACTAAGGGATACACACACACATGATCAAATAAACTATTGCCATTACATATAAATCCAATTTAGCACGGAATGAAGTCAATGGATCCTACTTAGAACAACCATGCACGGAATGAAAACTCACTCAAACAAGCAACGAGACACACAATCCAAGGTATCGTTGATCAAAATGCAAACAAAACCTAAACCAAGCATAGAGAACAAAGAAGTCATGCTTCCCTCTAAACCCAACCAAACCGGCCACGTCCTCCCCTTTTGCTTCAAATCACCACCCTAATTGGCCCCTCGTGATTCCTCGAAGGAACCGGAAAAAGTGATATTTTGAGGAAATAACAAAGGTATCCCGACATCTCGATTACGCATAATCTTTCCATAGGGTTGAAAGGTATCTCCCTCCACCGTTTGAGGACCGAACACCTCTAAAGTCTAAGGGTCTTAAAGGGTTGTAATGTATTGGCAATGGGTAAGGTAGGTGAAAACAATTTAAAAAATGGGGTTAATTCCTAAATGAAGCGCAAGA